CAAATAAGGGATAGAGTTCCAAATTTGGGGACCGATTCTCGAGAAAAAGGCATACATTTTATCGATTCTAGAGAACTTAACATAAAACGAGTCGCTAGAGACAGATCTTGTTCTGTAGTTATGAATCTGACTTGTTTTAACGAACTGATTGAGTATACTAACTGGTGCTGTCTGTCTGTTGATATCATACACTAAATAGCTGCAATCTCTGAAAAATAGGCTTGGAAGGCAAAGGCAATTCGATTTGAGAAAGAAGGGTACGATGTGTTCCTTAGACTTAATGAAGTAAATGAGACGTAAGGCCCTTTTTTGTAGAGTTACGATCTTTCTTTGAAATGTCAAGGCGCAGTTTCTCCAACCACAAATACCATAAGTTAAGTAAGGGACAATTAATGAGTTGTAAACTGAAAGTAAAACACGACGCGGTACATAATGTCGAATCTTAGCTATAATTCCTATCGACTTGCTGATTTTGTGACAGATATATTCTATGTGGTATTTCCATGAAAGATTTGAATCAATCATTTAAAGCCAAGATACTTAAGATAATCTTTCATTTCAAGGTTTGCGTAGGTTTTAGTCACGGAGTCAAGAATTCTAATCCTAGGTATGAAGGGCATATTCTTTTGCCGGAGGCGAAAGATTACAAAGTTTGATTTTTTTATGTTCAAAGGCAGTTTGTTGGCCTTTAGCGATTCGTTGACGTTGCCAAGCTCGCGATTAACAAGTGTTTCGAGTTCCTTTAGGTTGTTATTTGCAAGTATTATACTAGTATCGTAGGCAAATAGATAAAAGGCAAATAACGAAGAGGTCTTGTAAATATCATTGATGTACAGTAGGAATAAGACTGGTCCGAGGACTGAGCCTTGTGGCACGCCGCACAAGGTCGTCTCAGCCTCAGAAGCAACATTATTAACTTCCGTAGTTTGCTTTCGATCAATCAGGTATGATCTGAACCAGGGGGTGATTACACCTCTAATACCATAATTTTAAAGTTTAGCTAACAAAATCTCATGGTTAATAGTATCAAAAGCCTTCTTGAGATCGATGAAAACACCGCACGAAAATTTACCTTTGTCCATATTTTGGAGAACTGTGTTAACAATATCAAGGATAGCATGCTGAGTACTGTGCTTACTGCGAAAGCCGTACTGCTGATCATGGAGAATGTTGCAATCTTTGAAAAACTTGGTAAGTCTGGAGTACATAAGTTTTTCAAAAATCCTGTCATAAATCGAGAGCAGTGAAATAGTTCGGCAGTTTTCGGGCAGAGTGTCATCTTCGTCCTTAAATATCGAGATAATTTTAGCACACCTTAGTTTAGATGGAAAAATCCCTGAGCAAATAGACTGATTAAAAATCGTGGCTAGAGGTACGGATGTGACCCTTTTTCCCAATTTCAGCAGCCTAACTGGAGATGAGTAGAGACCATGGGCCTCGTTGTCTTGCAAAACTGAAATTTCTAAATTAATATCTTCCGGAATAATAGGATGAAAGAAGAAAGTGCGATTAAGTGGTGGATCTAAATAATCAAAGAATGTATTTAAGGTCTGAGGAATTTCAGAGGCCAGTTTGCTCCCAACAGTGGCGAAATATTTGTTAAGAATATTTCTTATTTCCTTTGGGTCACTAGTTGGAACCATAGTTAATTGAGTGGAATGGTTATGAAACCCGTCAGACGCCTTTGTTATATGTTTTTGTGGACCTGAAAGTGCACAACGTTCAAAAGAATTCCTATCATTTTGATTGTATTGACCAATAAAAACGTTGCATTAATTTATTCCGTAACAATTTGCCAACAGAAAACAAAGGATTGTGCACTTTCACGGTGCTTTGAACATAAACTGCAGCACTGTTGTTTTTATCATTGATGTTTGCCGCTTTTCATAACCAGTCTCCTCTAATAACTATGTTGGAACGTAACCCCATTCGGGTTTGGGCGAATAGAGTTAATTGAATTGCGCTTGTTTTTCATTTTACAGATTCCAATTACCGGTAGCTCGTTAATTCCTTTCCAAGTTTGACGCATATTACATATGTTGAGATCAAAGAAACTTTGGTTAGCGTAGTAGTTCGCGTTACTTAGTCTCGTAAGAGAGATGATTTTATTTCTGTAAAATTTG